TGCCTCTCTCTCGCTCTTTCTCTTTTCTGTTCCTCTCTTTCCCTCCCTCTCTTTTCTCTCCCATCTCTCCCTTTCTCTCTCTCCCTCTCTCACACATTCTCTATTGCTGCCTCTCTCTCGCTCTTTTTTCTTTTCCTCTCTCTTCTCACTCTCTTCTCTCTCTATCTCTTCTCTGTCTCTTCCCCTCTCCCCCTTTCCATCTTTCACTTTTCCTCTTTTTCTCTAACTCTCTGTATTCCTGCCTCTCTTTTGCTTTACTGTCATTTTCCTTTTTCTCTCCCTCTCTGTTTCTCTCTCTCTCTCTCTCTCCCCCCTTTGCCTCTCTCACTTTTCTTCTTTTTCTCTCTTTATTCCTGCCTCTCTCTCTTTACTTCTGTCATTTTACCTCTTCTCTCTCTCTCTCTCTTTATCTTTTTCGCTCATTCTCTATTGCTGCCTCTCTCTGTCTCTTTCTCTTTTCTGTTCCTAGTTCTCTCCCTCTCTTTTCTCTCTCCATCTCTGCCTCTTTCTCTCTCCTCTCTCTCTATTGTTCTCTGTCTCCATCTTTCTGTTTTCATTTTCTCTCTCGCTGCTTCCCTTTTTTCCCTTTCTCTCCTTCTACCTCACTCTCTTTTACTCTCGCTCATTTTCACTCCCTCTATTGCTGCCTCTATATTGCTCTCTCTCTGTCTCTCTACATCTTTCTGTCTTTCTTTTTCTCTCTCACTGCTTCCCTTTTCTCCCTTTCTCTCCTTCTCCTCCTTTTCCTCTTCCCTCTCTCCCTCCCTCCCTCCCTCCCTCCCTCCCTCTCTCAGCCAGGTGATAAAAATCTGTAATCTTATTTTGAAGTCCTGTGGAATTAGGCCTGCAAGACATTCGTCAGCAGAGCCGGGGAATGCGCCGATCGATAAGTGTATCTCATGTTTATCACTTCCACCGGCGGTAGCGAGGAGGAGGGAGACACACTCGGCCTGGCTTTGAGCTACGCAGCGCTGTCGCTTCTCTCCTCTCTGCTAGCGTCGGCTTGATTAGCAGGCCTGCGCAGATGTTTTTGTCCTGTTAAGCTTTTTTTCCCTGCCTAGTTCAAAACGAAGGGAGCGACAACAGCCTTTTCATGTTATTCAAAGGCCGCATAAAACGAGGGCTATTAATTATCTGTTTTAGCATATCTGTGATATTCTTCTCAAGCCATGCTGAGTGCTGGAGCTGGGAATGATTGAAAGGCGCCAGAAGTTTTCATTCAGGATTATGTCACAGTGGCATTTATACCACTGACGCTGCCATATTAGGGCTGTAACAATGCAGCATATTACATCATATCATTCTGTATTGCTGTGCTGTAGCTAAAACACTAACTAATTACACAGAGTTTTCCAATTGGTTTGATGTGAAATGAGTGATTGTAGAGATGTCTTTACAGTGGTGGTGATAGGAACCAGGGGTTGCCATGACTACAACACAAATATAGACATTTTATTTACTATCCAGGACCACCAGTGAACCTACACGAGTCTTCTGAGTTTATATGGAATGTTGATGATGGAAAATAGTGGAAAATCAGAAGAAAAATAAGTTTTCTTTGGTTTGGGGACTATTTTGCCTTACAATGGCCTGCTGGTATCCCTCCACCTTGAATGGATTTTAGGCCAAAACCTTCTCAAAACTATTAAAAATCAGTGTCTCAGACATCAGGCAATGAATTGTGAATTCATAACCATTTCATGTAGTAACTTTCTGTGAGGGAGCTTTTAGAGGTGGACGTCTGGTTCCTATCACCACCACTGTGAACAATTCTGACTCTGTGAGTTTCTCTAGAACAGTTTAGCCCCGCCCACCCACACTGAAGTTATAAGGAGTGTTTTAGTTCTGCACTACTTTTTCATTGAGGTGCAATGCAGGGAAGCCAATCAGAACAGAACTCATATATATATATATATATATATATATATATATATATATATATATATATATATATATATATATATATATATATATATATATAAAGAGAGATTAGAAACAGTCAAGTAAAGGTAAACCAATACAAAAGTGAACATTAGGGGAAAATAAAAGGCTAGAGAAACGTAGAATTCAGGTCCTTTTTGGAGATACAAGCTTTTGTTCCCACAGTGATGATATGTGTCTGTGGTTGAGTGAAACAGGCTGGGTGTGATTGGTCGCTGTGTGGGTTGGGCTTAGTCAGGGCCCGACTGCCTGGCTTGATTTAGGAGGGGGTGCTGAAAGTCAATACTGCTGTGGTGGGTGAGAGATAGACTGAAGCGCTCTGACAGAAATGAGGAGAGAGGAAAAAAACAGCATCACAGAGGTTGTGAATGTTGAAGTGAGTGAGGTTCCACAACGAACGAATGCCTGATAGTCTAGTATGTACACCAGTGGGGAACCCTCAGGGCCTTCTAGGCCTTCAGAGAAAGCGTAATGATTTATGTGAAATAAATAAAAAATGCATGACTGTATTTTGTAGGTCATTTCTATTTAATAGATTTTTCAGGCTTGTTGTATTTAAACTCTGCATGTTTTGTAGTAGTACTGTTATTACTCTTATTTGGACATAAAAGGGTTAAATTTCGGAAATGCTCAGTGAAAAATTTCCACTCAGGATTGTTTTCTGTGAGGTTTCTATGTAGATACAAGCAGTACTGCAAAAAATGTGCTTTGGCATCTTATATCTAGAGAATGTATCTAATATTTCTTATTTTTGGACTGTTGTTGGTGTTTTCTAGGATTATTTAGCTATTTTTTTTATTTTTTACTTTTAAGCCATTATATTAAATGAAATTATCTCACTATATTGGCAGATACCTTTGGTTGTTTTAAGTATATGTCTTAAAATAAGCAAAATTATCTGCCAATAAAGTGAGATCATTTTGCTTAACGAATCCACTTAAAACAAATAAATAATGTCTAAAAATAAGTAAATAATCTTATAATAAGCTTATAATAATATGAGAAATATGAGTAATATTGATTAAAGTAACTGTGATATCACTTTTTTTGTTTTCGTTTTTGTTTTTTGCAGTAAAGTGAGCTCTCCCATTGGTTAGGGCTTCAGGAGTTGGACTGAAGGCCTTACACATTGCATTAACTACCGACATAATTAGGAGTTGACAGAGGAATCAACCAATCATGCTTTCGTTTACAGTGCATAATGAAAAGATATGTATCTCTAGACCTTCTGGAGGTTCTAGATACATCACTCACTGTTAATATGAGCCATAGTCTAAGCAGGTTGGGGTTAGTTGTTAGGAATGGAAAACAGCGGCAGCAGCTCTATGCCAGGATTCTTTACTGAAAGACTGAAGGGCAGCGTTGATAAGAATACATAACACCTACATAAACCTTTCATAACAACAGACATAAACCTACATAGATGATTCTACCAAACTGGTTGAAAGTTGAAAACATATTTCAGACTTTTGACTGACTTTGACTTTAGACTGAAATCCTTTTACTGAAATAAATCATTGAACATTCTATTTTGTCGCTACTAAACCAATCATAACTTTAGCAAATGTGTCAGTAGTGACTGTTACGGTGACAATTTTGGCTCATTTTGAGCTCAAAAACTCAGCCAGTACATGACCAGCAAACACAGCTTTGAACAGCTGTTCACACAGAAAGTCATCATATTTTCATTAAAACTCAAAAAGTACTGAACTGCAGAAAAATTTAATTAGTGACGATTCTTAATGTTCCACACTGATTTTCAGACTTTGGGTCACATTTACTTCAGAACAATGGGATCTAACTGCTCACCATGTGGCCATGAGGGACAGGGATGCAGCCTCACTTCCTGCTCTAAAAATCAGGGATGTGGCTGAAATAAGGCTCCGCCTACAGTGACATGAAAACGCAGGACAGCGTGTTTTAGAATAAAGTTTTTTTATTTAAAGTTAGATCTAAATCTTTCAACTTTCAACAAATCAAAACAGAAGTATTATTTTTAGCCGTTAGGGTTTGGGACATCAAGGTGTCGTGGCTTCATGAATGCTGCCCTTCAGCAAGTGTTACAATAAAATATACGTTATTGTCTGTTACAAGCTTCAAATAAAACATATGGAATGTATTTAGCAAGCTTTAGATATACATGTTTGATCTATAACAGGCAAGCAAAAATTAATGTGAATGATCATTAGCATACCATTAGCATAGTAACATACTACTAAGATCCCACAGGGGTGCTAGCAGAAATTTGCATTATCACAGAGCTGTTTTTTCTCATTTTTGACCAATTCTTGCTGTTTATATCCTGAACTGAAGACTCTGATGTCATGTTTTACCGCTGATCTACCGAATGTGTGAAAATTCAGATTTTGATTTATACATATACGCATTCATTTCTTTCTTTTTTCCATTCTGAGCTACTTTTGGTTTCCTTTTTTATCTTTGGTTAGCATAATTGTGATGAATTTGGTCAAATCTGGACATAATTGGTTTTGGTGGTACCATAATACAGATGTTTATATGTTTAGTTGATTTGCTTATTTATTTATCATTTACTGTACTTTACGGATGCTTTTATTTCCCATTAGGAAGTGTGTCCATAAAAGGTGTTCAGAGGTTTTTCTCATTATTGGCCAGGTTTGAGTTACGCAGCTTTAAAAGATAGGAATCGATGCAGCTCATGTATAATTAAAACATAATTTGTTTTAATGGTATTGAGTGAAGTAGTTTATAGTCCACAGACAAATGGTCAACGTCCTTACTCTGTCCTTACTCTGGACGCAGGGACGCTGTTGTTGTTTTCGTCGTTGTGTTTCTATGACATACGTAATAAGTCACACTGTTGCTCACCAAACGTGTCACGGCAGATCATGCGAGCAGCGCATCTTCAGCCGATTCACCTTCTCGAATGGACAGTGGTCAGCCGTTTTGTTTATTATTTCTTTATGTGTCATTCCCTGCAGTCTGGAAGAGTCGCCTTGCCGATGAGCTTGACTGGACCGGACTTGCACGCCTGAAACTAATGTGCTTTTCATCCTCTTTGTTTTGATTTTGGTGTGCAGCTCCTCCGCAGCTGATTGAAAAGCCACAGGACATGCAGAAGGCCATCGACGACTCTCTGGTGTGGGAGTGCACAGCCACAGGCAAACCCAAACCCTCCTACAGGTGGATGAAAAATGGAGAAAACCTGGAGCCCACAGAGGTTTGTCATCTCATATTCTCTTTTCTCACGCCTATAAAGCTCTGTACAGTCTGTCTGACACATTACAGCACAATACAGCTTATTAAAGGGCCATATCATACAGTTTTCATTCATTTTTTTATTTATTCATTTATTTATTTATTTATTTAGCATACAGTTGGATGCAAAATTACACATTTTGTTGATGTTCTAAGTAAAAGTAACTGATCCTTTACAGTAAACTAAGAAATATGGCATTTTTCTGGTAATTTTAGTGCTCAAGCTCTATTTATTTGCTGATTTTAACACACACACACACACACACACACACACACACACACACACATACATACATTTTCTAAGTTGCTTATCCTTGGGTCGCAGGGGGTTCTGGAGCCTATCCCAGCATTCATTGGGCGGAGGGCAGGAAACACCCTGGACAGGTCACTGGTCTATCGCAGGGTATACTGTAAAAATGGCTCATCAGATCAACCTAAAAAAAAATCACTTCATTTAGTAACAAGCAATTGAACCAGTTTTATTCAATTAAAAAAATTACATTAATTGAAAGAATCATTAATTCAAAGTATTTATTTAGGTAGAATAAAACTAGTTAATTTACTTGTTACCACATGAAGTAATTTTTAAGTAAATCTGACGAGCCACTTTTTACAGTGCAAATACCCTGTGTGAAGCCTTCAAGAGTGCAGTTTGAGTGTTGTTCATGTGATTGGTTGCTTCACAGCTATGTAGAATGAGCTTATTACTTTTTGTTATTTTGTTGTTAGATATTATTTATATATCCTAATTATTAAGCGTTTATCATTCAATTTGGGCTATTCCTTAATGTGCAGGACTTCTCCACACATATGTGTTGTCCCGCTCCCGCCCGCATTGGGCTGGGTAACCACCCACTCCTGTGCATGACGCTGAAAATTAGCTCTGCGCTGCAAAATATTATGGTGGGTCCTGCAGGAATCCAGACCTCTACTTCATAGCAGCCCATTCATTTTGGACTCGCTCAGGGGCGCAAAGCCACCAGTGGACCTACACACGTCTTCTGAGTTTTTATATGTAATGTTATTTGGGGACTGTTTTGCCTCTCAATGCCCTGCAAGTACCCCTCCACCATTAAATGGAGATTGAAAGATGTGTTGTAGTCCAAAACCTTGTTATAAACAATTTCTCAGACCTCAGGCAACATATTCATAACCATTTCTTGTAATAACTTTCTGTGAGGGAGATTTCCGAGGTGGACGTCTGGTTCCTATCACCACCACTGTGGACCATTCTGACTCAGTAAGTTTCTCTATAACGGAGCGTTTCACACCAAACCACTCTGAATGATTTTATTATGCATCTGAGTTCAGAGCTCTTTTATACAGATTTGCCGGTTCAAAGCGATATTCACATACCATCTTAAGATGATCACAATGCTGAGGATCTTGCGAGGTTCTTGAACCAGTGACTCTTAATTCAGTGGCTGTAATTCAGCGATAGTCATATAAAAGCCACTTCAGTATGCGGCCGTATTTCAATGAAGTCTCCTGTCTGCAAATTGTATTTTTTAAGTAGATCTGATGAGCCACTTTTTACAGTGCAAATACAGACAAATACAATCACACACAGACTCACACCTGGGAGCAATTTAGCATCTCCGATTGTCTTTGTATATTGTTTATTTAAGGTGGGGAAAGGCAGGAGGACCCTCTGCACTCTTTTATTTTGTGTTGTGTAATACTGAGTTCATTGGGAGTTTAACAGCGAGACATTTGGCATCCATGGCTCCCAAAAAAGTCAGCGTCCAGTTTAGTCCGCCACTGTGGTTGACGGCAAAAGTTGGGGAAATTTTTGCCATCAACCGCAGCCATGGAATGTTTTAGGCACTACTGAAAACAACAGACTATCTGGTTTGCCGTTGGTCCACTGCACCCATATGGACACAGCATTAGGCTGGATAAAACCCTTAATCAGGCTGGTCCAGCCCCATAATGTATGTTCGACACCCCTGTTTTAGAGACCGAAGCAGCTTTTATCACGTACAGAATGCCTCAAGCACATCCACCAAACTGGATAGAATAACATCCACTTGATGTTCAGCAGGCAGCACCAACAATGGCGACCACCACAACATTCTTGGAAAATCTTCACCAGCTTTTCTTAGCTTGTTTAGTTATCATATGTGGAATATTCACACGATTCAAACTGTGCAGTTTCCATAAAGAAAGGTCAGGTGTGTCTAAACGTGGTCTCTCGTGGCTGGACCCAAACAAACAGCTGATACACCGGTTCTGGAACGCAATGACGAAAGAGGCACAGTAATCTTCCATTAAATCTCTGAACTCGGAGAGCCGAATTTAATCCCTTTTTCCCCACAGGCCAATGGGAGAGGGCTTATAAACCTTTACTGGCTGCTAAACACGCTCTCTGTGCTTTCTCTCCTCTCTATTATAGCGCTTCACTAGGATACAATAAATGGTGATTCACTTTTATCTCCTTATATGTAACTCGACCCTTTGTAATATTCAGCCTCTATTTGTTGACTCCTTGGATGAATTATTGGCCATTAGAGTGATGCATTTACAAAAGACTCCTTTTCCCAGAATTCTAACTGAGCCTTGCCCCATTATGAGGCCACGTTGTTCAGTAGAGATTGATCGCTGGGGCCTCGGCACAGCTCGGATGTAATAAATAAACAAATAAATACACTTCATGGTAATTTGCCTCATTGCGCAACGCGTTGGCAAACAAAACAGAGCAAATCGCTGCATCTGAAGATGTTATATATGCAGTAAGAATGAAGTGGGACTGTATTATTCTGCTTAAAGGCACTCCCTCCAGCAGACCCGCGCTCAGCGTCTATCCACCGACACATCAGCGCGTATCTCAGCTCTGCATAATTAACAATCTGTGCATTGGTTTCTTTGTTCTTTGTTCTAAAAAGAAGCAACTTTTCCGATTAGAGTAACAGACTTAAGGGGAGTGGTTTGAAATTATGGAGCTCTGCTGGTGACATACAATATAAATAAAATAATGCATGGCCACGCCTTATTAACACGTGGGAACGAGATCCTAATGAGCGGCCACGACTTAGTAAGGCAGGGGAACGAGATCATGCCTTACTAAGTCATGTCCACGCATAAGGATCTCATTCCGATGCCTTACTAAGTTGTGGCCACGACTTAATTATCTTGTTCCCACGTCTTACTAAGTCGTGGCCATGACTTAATTATCTTGTTCTGATCCCTTACTAAGTCATGGCCACGACTCAATTATCATGTTCCCATGCCTTACTAAGTTGTGACCACGACTCAATTATCATGTTCCCATGCCTTACTAAGTTGTGACCACAACTTAATTATCTTGTTCTGTTGCCTTACTAAGTCATGGCCATGACTTAATTATCTTGTTCTGATGCCTTACTAAGTTGTGGCCACAACCTAAATATCTTGTTCCGATGCCTTACTAAGTCATGGCCATGACTGAATTATCTTGTTCCCACCCCTAACTAAGTTGTGGCCATGACTTAATTATCTTGTTCCGATGCCTTACCAAGTTGTGGCCATGACTTAATTATCTTGTTTCCATGCCTCACTAAGTCATGGCCATGACTAAATTATCTTGTTCCCACGCCTTACTAATTCATGGCCATGACTTTATTATCTTGTTCCCACGCCTTACTAAGTCATGGCCACAAACTAATTATCTTGTTCCGATGCCTTACTAAGTCATGGCCATGACTTAGTTATCTTGTTCCCACGCCTTTCTAAGTCGTGGCCACGCATTATTTTTCTCTATTCAGGATGTCACCAGCGGGGCTCCGTATGAAATGACTCTTTGTAGAGAAACTTACCAATTCCGATTTGTTTACTGGGACTTTGTGGTGGGAGCCGGGAGTCATGATGCCTACATCAAAAACATAGTCACTTCATTTACAATCTAGAACCAGAGCCAGTTTAAGGAGAGCCTGGCCGCTCCCTGTTTCTCCAGTTGTGTCAAAAACATGACAACACAACACTAGAGGGCACTCACGAGCAAGTGAATGGGAGTGAATAGAGCTAAATGGCTAAAAACAAAAGATCAAACGCGTTTTTGTCCATTTATGCAGGGATGTCCTTTCATTTTGGGAGGTAAAAGTCCTGTTGATGGGCAGCACAGTGGCGCAGTGGGTAGCGCTGTCGCCTCACAGCAAGAAGAGCCTGGGTTCGATTCCCGACCAGGTGACCAGGGTCATTTCTGTGTGGAGTTTGCATGTTCTCCCCGTGTCTGCGTGGGTTTTCTCCGGGTACTCCGGTTTCCTCCCACAGTCCAAAAACATGCAGTCAGGCTGATTGGACATGCTAAATTGCCCCTAGGTGTGAGTGTGTGTATGTCTGTCTGACTGCCCTGCGATGGACTGGCGACCCGTCCAGGGTGTACCCTGCCTTCCGCCCAATGACAGCTGGGATAGGCTCCAGCGCCCCACCGCGACCCAGAAGAATAAGCGGTTTAGATGATGGATGTTGACTTAGGAAGTCCTGTAACTACAGTTTAAAATAGCTCAAAAATGTGTGTAAATGTTTTCTGCAGTTCTGTGTTGAGAAAAGGAGTGAAATTTTTGGTCCAACTTTGTATTAAGTGTCTCTAATAACTGTGTACATTAACAATACACACTACAACAACGTTACTACTATTGGCGTATTCACTGTTACACATGGATGATAGTAGTACAGCCTGTGTACTTAGAGTAACTCATTATTCTTTTCCTTCAGTTTAAGGTTGCAGCTTAATCTGATGTAATGTTGGAACAGTAGCATCACTTTCATAACATTTAGCTAGCTGTAGTAGTAGTGGGCCTAACCAAAGTTCTGGCTTTAATCTATTCTGTAATGTAACAGTAATGTGACTGTTAAAAATGTGTAATTACATAAGAGAAAATATGCTTTTACAACTATCAAATACACTTGTGTAATTACATGAGTGAAAACTGAAATTGAAACGTTTATTTACATAAACAGTACTACTGTAGTCCATCTGTAACA